AAAAAAAAAAAAAAAGAAGCTGGCCATTCCTTGGTGACTGGCCCCCAAAGACCAAGGACTTCCTAGGCCCGACCTAAGGCCACGTCGCCACAGAACCAGTACACACGCCTCCCACAGGGGGCCACAGCCCCTCCCCATCACGAAGCACATGCTTGTGCACACACAGCACATGGACACGTGCACACACAAACAGCGACCCAGTCACACATACACGTGCACACTGAGGACCCATGTGGACACATTCAGGGACACTGACACAGCCCGGGATGTGCAGCACACGAGCACACCCATGGGCAGAGCACCGCAAAGTGCTGGGCACACAGACACAGCCCATGCACACGCATGCACACAACCCAGGAGGCACGTGACGGGAGGGGTTTTCACACACCAAGAACACGCCTCTGCCCGCCCACCCTACCCCTCACCTTCGCAGTAGGGGAAGTTGTAGGCGCCAGGCACACACGCGTCACACCGCAGACCCGTCACGCGGGGCCGGCAGCTGCACTGCCCAGTCCGGGGGTCACAGGCCGAGTGCAGGGAGCCGTCGGCGGAGCAGTGGCAGGCTGGGGGTCAAGGGCAGGGTGTCAGCCTGAGGTGAGGACTCAGCCCTCTCCCTCCTCCCAGACACTCACGGGTGCAGACGGGGAAGCCATAGAAGCCGGTGCTGCACTCCTGGCAGGCGGCGCCCGTGTAGCCAGGGCGGCAGTGGCACAAACCACCTGCCCCACAGAACTGGTCCAGGGCTCCCTGGGGGTCGCAGGCGCAGGCTGAGGAGCACAGTGGGGTCAGGTCCAGCCCCATGCAGGCGGCCCAGCCCCTTCACCCAGCAGCCATCTCCTCACCAAGACAGCTGGGGTAACCGTGGTGGCCTGGGCGGCAGCGGTCACAGTGGGGGCCGTCAAACCCGGGCCGGCACAGGCAGCGGCCAGCTTCATCGCAGCCTTCGGGCAAGGTCCCGGCGGGGCTGCATCCACACACTGTGGGGAAGCAGCGTCACAGCGAGCCCGGCCAGGTGGACTCTGCCCCAGGCACGTCCCCACCCACACCCACTCGGGGAGATACTACGCACACTGGCACAGAGGGAAATGGAAGTAGCCAGGGGCACAGCGATCGCAGGCAGCTCCCTCAAAGCCCGCGCGACACCTGCACTGGCCGGAGTCGGGGGCGCAGAGCCCATCGGCCACCCCGGGACTGGAGCACCGGCAGGCTGCAGGGAAAGGGAACCCACACTCAGGGCGAGGCAGGGCCACCGCCGGGGAGGGGAGGAGCGGGGCTGCACTCACGCTGGCAGCTCGATCCGTAGAACCCCGGAGCACACAGCTCACAGTGGGCACCCCAGAAGTTGGGTTTGCACACGCAGCGACCAACCCTCGGGTCTTTCTGGCAGGTGTCGTCCACGGTCCCGCTGTCACTGCAGTCACAGTCTGGACAGGAGGGGAGGGGAAGCTTGGAGACCTGCACACTGCAGCCCTCCCCACCCGGAGAACTAGCTTTTTCTTACACTTTGACGAGAAGAATAAAAACCCCCAAAAAGGGGAGCACTGCTCTAGAAAAACAGCTGTGCAACGGAATCAGCACCATAAACACACAGAAGTCGGTGTTTATAATGCAAATCCAAGTCAACTACAGCCACGAACAAAGGAAAATCATAAACACAAAATCTTAACAAGCTAAGCAGGGGCCTCTAGTTTCTTTATAAACAATGCTGAGCAGTGGGAAGAAGGAAGCATGTTGGCTGTCGTGAATACTACTCAGGACAAACAACTGAAGAGCCAGTACAGCGACAGAACTTGTTCACCTATGAGGGGAGCAGCAACACACATATCAACACCAAAGCACACTCTACTGCTCCAAGGGGCAAAGTCAGGAATGGAAAATTTAAGTAGAAAAGTAAAATCGATACAAGGGCAAGTGCAGCCCAACCTGAGAGCAGCCACGGTGTCTGGTACGTCAGGCTGTGTCTCCTTTCCTAAGATGAGAACCCATGGTTTTGGAGTTGCACAGAAAGCCCAGTGGGCACCTCCTGAAGTAGGGACACAAGCACAGCGAGCAGGGGCCCAGGGCAGATGCCAGAGTAGAGACAGTGAATGTGAACTGAGCATCAGGTCTTCAGAGCACAGAGCCATGGCACCAGGACAGAGGGGGGCTGCATTCTGATCCCACAGCTGCCCCGGCCAGGAGATGAAGAACAGAACACCCAGGAGTGGGATAAATGCAGCACAGTTCAATCTAATTAAAACTGCAAAGAGCCTATTAACTATTAATTCTGCAAAACCAGCCACAGAAGTCTGAATTCGTGGTCAGAATGTGCCAGCTCAGAGAGGCTAACACCAAGCACACACAAGTAGATTTCAATAACATAATTAACAAGCTCGCGGATACACAGAAATCAGTATCCAACAGTGAGCACAAAGGCCTGTCAAATGTCCACAGAACAATCTGAAAAAGGTCACACTCTGGGTGAGAAACAAAGAATATTTCAAGTGCCAAAGACAAAAAAGCAGAAACTGTCAGTATACCATAATGTTCTCACCACCTGCAATGATGGATGCCTTTTTGAGCAATCCAAGTCAAACAGAAAAAAACAAATGTGACAGAGCCGGGTACGACGGCACACACCTGCAACTGAGGTAGAAGGATCACAAGACTGAGGCCAGCCTAGGCAATTCAGCGAGACTGTGTGGAAATAAAAACTAAAAAGGGCTGGGATATAACTCAGTGGTGGAACATTTGCCTAACATGGGCCCGAGTTCTTTACCAGTACACCTCCCAAGGATGAAAAAAGAAAGCCGGGAATTTAGCTCAGTGGTTCCACTGCCTGCCTTGCAATGCACAAGGTCTTGAGTTCGATCTCCAGTACCAAAAAGAAAGACCATTTAGAAAAAATACCAATGAGAACATGGCATTCGAAAACCTAAAGAACATGTAGGAACCAGCCTACGAGCTCAAACCTGACCAGGGTGAGACGAAGGTCAAAAACAAGGCACAGGAGCAGGTTCAAACCTGGAGGGCAGGGGCTCTCGTCTCCAGTCGACACAGGGCCCCGACTGACTGGCACAGCTTGGCTTTATTCACTCAGACAAGGGCACGAGCAATCAGGGTTTCACAGGGCTCACCTGCCTCCCACCCTCCAACTACCCTGGTAAACAATTTATCTGCAGGTGTGCTTACTTTTCCCTGCAGCACGTGAGCGTCCTTGCACACCCATCTCAGCACTCACCCAGTTAGGCGTCATGCTCCCCATCTGCTCATGTCTACACACCCCTGGTAGCTCCTCTCCCAATCTGCTGACCAGGCTGCTGGGAGCAAGACTTCTAGGCAACACCCACACTAGGCCAGGGTGGTTAGTGGGGGTCAGGACCAGCACAGGTTGTCAGACCTGGCTCCATTCACAATTACCTGGGACCAGGGTGGCCAGGAGCCTGCAGGTCCCTTCTCCTGAACCTCAGACCCCTGCCTCTGAAGCAACACGCCAAGAAAACCAAGTTCTGCCAGGCGTGGTGGCGCATGCCTGTGATCCCAGCACTCAGGAAGCTGAGGCAGGAGGTTTGCTGTGAGTTCGAGACCAGCCTGAGCTACATGATGAGTTCCAGGTCAGTCTCAACAACATAATGAGACCCTGTCTCAAAAATCAAAATGAAAAACAAGTCCTTCGCAGCCTTGGGAAGTGCCCTCCCTCAGCCCCCACCCCATAGCTGTAACTCCTTGTTCTGGTACAGATAAAATTGACAACTACATCCTGTAAACAAAGTTTATGACACTGTTCTCGTATGATTCATAAGACACTGTCTTCTTTCAAGGCAGAGTTACAGAACTGTGTGCCCTTGTCCTGTTCCGGTAAATTCACTTGCTACGTCACTAGAAAGACCCCCCTCCCCCCGCAACAAAATGGGCAAAAGCTAAAACTTCTCTTTGTTCAACACTCAGCCTTTTGGGACACAGTCTGCCAGGCCCACGTGCACACCTCAAGTAAGTCCTCCTGACTCCCCTCTGGTCTCTCCTGTCTTAGAATTCTGCAACACCCCTGCTGTCACATTCAAGCTGAAAACCGGGGCCCCCACTCCCGAGCTCCTGCTTAAGCTATATTTTCAAAACGCCAATAAATGTACAAATCTTAGATCAACAGAGAGAAGGGGGAAACGCGAAGAAAATGTTCAAACGGGAAGAAAGGCGGGAGGGAGAAAGAAAGAAAAAAGAGTGAAAATAAAAGGAAAAAATGGAAACAAAACTTTTGTACATAGGGAGGGGAGGGAAGATCGAGGGGAGAGGAATGTGAAAAAAGGAGGCAGGAGGTACTGTGTGCAGATGCAAGTTCCCTACGAGGGGTGTTATCGTTACATACGTCTAAAATGTGCCAATAAGTGTTTTGCTATTAAAAAAATACTTTGTCCTGTTAGAAAGATAAAAAGATGAGAAGACTGAAGAGCTTACAAATGTCAAGAAAAAGGATACAGAAGTTAATTCATCGAAGAAAATATGTATGTTTGCCTGTTGGTTTGATAAAAGCCAGTGCTGTTCTTCCACAAGCTCCTTGTTGCTCAAGAAACTCAAAAATATGTATAGTCGCTTGTTAATTTGATAGAGCTCAAGTTATTCCTAAAACATCAGTACTTGAGAATTTCTGTTGCAACAGAGTAGATATGAGAGAAGAAAACCATCAAACCCCTCCCCATTGAGATATATACTAAAGGACTTTATAAATGGCTGTATGGGGGCTATGGAATAAAGCTGACTCCCGAAGATCAAGAACTCTGTATAAAATAAATTGGACCTCCTCTGATACAGGGTGATAACGGGGTGAACAACCAGAGCACCCCATCCCTTTAACCTGCCGGCAACTAAAAATAAATGCAGCTTTCATGGGACAGGCACAGGGCAACATCCGTGGAAATTACAAAGCTACAGGGTTTTGCTGACACACAGCTACTCATGCGGTGGTGCAAACCCGTAAGCCCAGCACTTGGGAGGCTGAGGCAGGAGGACCACTGTGAGTTTGAGACCAGCCCAAGCTACATAGCAAGACCCTGTCTCAAAAAACAAAACAAAACAAAAATGCTATTCAGCTCACAGAAATGGCCACTAAGGTATATGTTAATCACAATCAAGAGACATAAGGGGAGGTTAACTGGAGGTTTTTTAAAAAAGAAAAACCAGGGCCAGGGATTTAGCTCAGCGGTTCAGTGGCCTGCCTTGCAAGCACAAGGACCCAAGTTCAATCCCCGGTACCAAAAACAAACAAACAAACAAAAAAACCTGCTGGCAGCAGCACTCTCAGGAAAAAGGGCAGAAGACATTAAAAAAAAAAAAAAAAGACAAAGATCAAGTTGGACCAAAAAAACCTGTCAAAAACTAGCTTGGAATCAATGTGGATAACGTAAAAAGTTTGGACATTAAAAGGATAAATATCCAGGCCAGGCATGGTGGCACACGCCTATAATGCCAGCACTCGGAGGCTAAGGCAGGAGGATCGCTGTGAGTTCGAGACCAGCCTGGTCTACACAGTGAGTTCCAGGGCAGTCTGAACTAGACAGTAAGACCCTTCCTCAAAAACCCTAAATAAATAAATAAATAAATAAATAAATCAGGGTCAAATGCCAGTCTTCTTGGAACATCTTGCTTCTGCCAGTACATAAACCAGGGACTGATAAATATAGGCCAGTACAAGACTTGCATGCTGTAAATCAGGCTCCTGAAACCACACTCTGAATAATGTCAAACCCATATACACAAGTGGGACTCATCCCAGCAAGTGCTGCCTGGTCACTTGCCTGGACTTAAAATGACACCTTTGTCTGTCTCTGCTGGGCACCCATCAGTCAACCCATTTTACATTTCAATGGGAGGCCCGGGTTACTGGTGTTGAAAACTAAAACAGCTCACTTGGACTAGGCTTCCCCAGGGGTTTAAAACTCCCCCATGACCTTTGGGGAAATGCTGGCCACCAATCTCACCACTTCCTGGTGACCGTGTCTTATGACAATGTATAGATGATCTTTTTTACAGCTCCCTCTCATGAGGAGGGGACCAGAGATCTTCACCTGCTCTAAAAGGACAAATATAAGGTGTCTAGAAAGAAAGCTCAAATTTGCCAACAAAAGGTCAGGTGCTGGGTTTTATAGTAACAGAAGGGGAACATCAACTGGGCACTGAAAAGAGACAAGCTGTCTGTGCCCTCCCAGCTCCGGCTACCAGACAACAGATAAGAAAATTACTGGGGTGCCATCTGAATCCCTAATTTCTCACTCATGGATAAGGCCTTACATAAAGCTACCAAGGGGGGAAAGGAGCCCCTGCTCTGGGAAGCTGAACAGGAGAGGGCACTCAAACAAATCGAAGAGGGCTTAACCAATCTCCAGCCTGGGGCTCCAGACATAACCAATCTCCAGCCTGGGGCTCCAGACATAACCAACCCTTTCTTCCTGCA